GCAGAGGAAGAATTTCTATTTTTGGCTACACCCTTAAGGCAGCAGAGGAAGTATATGTCATGGTTGCAGTGACAGCTAATGAGCAGATATACAATATTAATTGCAGTAAGTGTAACACACTGAACAATCTATCAACTTCTATTTTCTCAGCAGCTGTAGCTTAGATACTTTTGACTAACACCTGTGTCTGAACTGGCTGCTTTGAGTTTGTTTACTACATGGCAGCACACAGAGAAACTAAACCACCACCTCCTATAACCTGTGCCGTGCAGCCCGGGCTATTTGCACCCGCACTGCTTTCAGCGTTGCAGATGTTCAGATGATTGTCTTCTTCCCTCTGCTCTGGGGGCTGACCCAGTTGTACTCGGCTTGCACCAGCACGAAGCTGTTTTCCCGGATCCTTCGGAAGTGCACCGCCTCCCCGTTTTCCCTGGCGGCGATGCCGGGGTCCGGCTCGCCGAAGGACACCTCCGTCCGCTTGTGGCAGTGCTGGGCACAGACACAGCGCACGGCGGCTGCCAGCGCCAGGCCCAGGGCGACCGTGCAGACAAGCAGGATGCCAAGTTGGGCTGCAAGGAGTCGGCTTCCTCTGCCAAGGTCTTCCCCTTTCCCAGGAACAGCAGATTTGGGAGCTGGTCTGGTCACCCATGCCAGGGTATTCCCACTTGCCTCCTCCTCCTTCTCTTCCTCACCCTGGGTGCCGGTCTCCTCTGGCTGCGGTGCCAGCTCTCTTTCTGCCATTTGCCTTGAAGCCAAGGACAAATTGCCAGCAGTGCTGGCATCCCCAAACCAGGCTGTGGTTGCAGCAACATCACCCAGGTGAGTGTGTACGTGCAGGGCAGAGGGAGACGCTGTAACATGCAGGGAGTCTTTCGAGATGGCCTCGCTCTTGGTACTGGCCTTTGAAAGCAAAAACGCACCAAAACGTGTTTGAGGAAGGAAGAGAAAGGGGGGTGATTATGTTCTCACTACCTACATCATAGTACAGTTCAACTCTTGACACCCACGTGTCCCTCTGGCCTTAAAATAACCCCTCTCCATTCCCTGGTTACTCAGTGCCTTTTAGAAAATGAGCCAGATGAAACCCTGCTCCATCCATATCAATTCCCATGGGAGGGACAATGCACTGGAGCTGGTCCCAGGGGCAAAGGCAGAGTGGGTTGAAGGGGCAAGGGTGAAGGGCAAAGGTGGAGAGGAAAGTCACTGCTTTGCCTAAGTAAAGGTCTGTAGTTCCCGTTGTTGTGGTGGTATTTTTCACAGCCATAGTTATCACAGAAAAAAAATCACTTAATAAACAATTCCCACTTTGAGTGATGCCAGGGTCATGCTGAAAGAGCAGCTGTGACCTTCCCAGCCCAGCTTCATGTTTAGTCACGTGGGCCTACTGGGATTCGGTATCACCCTTCTGGGGCTGTGTAGAGCTGTGGAGCAGAGGGACACAGGAGACTTGGGATGGCCTTTGACGTCAGTGGTTTTGGGGCAGTCACATACAACCTATGAACTCTTCCCAAAGCCTGCCTTGCTATCTAAGCATACACAGCTGGTTTGAAATTGTCTGCCTATCTGTGTTGCTTAACCACCCATTTTAGTGGGAATGACTGTTCTTGCCTGCTCCTGTTTCTGGGGACAGTCTGGTTCCATGCACTTTATTTTATCTGTCACAAAATGACAGCAGCTCCATGCCAGTTCTGCAGCCCAGGCTTTGCTGCAGGTGTTATCCAAGACTAACTGGGAAACAATCATACAATTTATTTGAATTTTTCCATTCCCACTGTGCATCTGAGCCCCCATCCAAAACCTGCAAAACGTACTGGAGTTTTTCCTTTGGCTCCAGTGAGACTTGAATCTGGCCCTCAGTAACTGGCACCTCTCCAGCCTGTCCAGCCCAGCAGGCTTTTTCACACTTCCATTAATTACACCAGAGAAACTCTCACCCTCTACCATCATTAGCAATTTCTAAGGCTTCCTGGGAAGACAGTGTGACAGGAGCACAAAGCTGAGGTAGGAGCCCTGGCAAGCTGTGAAGCAAAGTAGTGGAGGGTCAGAGCATCCTTTGTGGAAGAGACAGTTTCTGAAGGTGCTAGTAAAGTGCAGTAGTAAATAGAAGACTTTCAGTGGCTGAACTCCAAACTGTAAAGTAGCTGACTGGTGAAGTTAGGATTGCATGTGTATGGATCACTTGCCCTCAAAATGCAAACAGCATACTGTAAGGATATACTGCAGGACTTGGGACTTTGGGATAGAAAATGGAATTTCCTTGCAAGTCCTTGCCCTATCTCACCTCATTTCTCCTTTCTTTTCATGCTCCTTCTCTCCATTCTTGCCTAATTTCCCAATATTTTTATTTCATTATGCTCTTCTTGTCTTGCCTTGTGCAATAACTCTTCCTTTCCTTTGTTTCAATCTTCTACCATTTCTCCACTTCTCTCTGTGGCTATGCCAGGTGCTCATGATACATATCTTTACTTGTACCCTGTCCTCTGCTCCTTCCTAAATATTTCTGCCTCATTCTTTGCTGTATGGCCCTTTCCCCCTTTTTCTTTTGTGAGGTTATTTCTCTTCCTCCTGTGGCATCCTGCAATCCAGATCTAATTCTTTATTTTCTTTGTATTTTTCTTCTCTCCATCCTCTGCGGACTTCCACTGTTAACACTGTACCCTGTGTCTCTAAGCTATCCCTGCTTTCCAGCTTCTCCACTAGTTCCCATCTGAGCATCTTTCTCAGTCTCTGCAGCCCTGGTATTCTCTGTTTTCTCTCCCTCCTCTGTTCTCCACTTAATTCCTCAGATGCCCTCCTAGTTCCCACATCTTCCATACGTACAGCTGCCCCACTGCCCTGAGGCTGCAATCCTTTCACCCCTTTCTGGGCTTCCTGTCCTGAGATCACCCCTTCCTGAAAGGTGCTCTAACCCGCTCATCCTGCCTGCCAGCTCCTGCTCTTCCAGCAGTCTCTGACGAGTGCACCCCATGCCTGTGGCTAACCCCACCAGCACCACGTCAGCCTTTCTGACCCATCCAGCCTCGGAAAGCACAGACCTTCTTCAGCCATCCCTGGGAAAAATTAAGTCTTTGACCTCTGGTGGATTTCTTGGGTGGTATCTATCCAGCACCCCTGGAAAGGAACATCTCAGCCTTCCACAGGAATAAAGCACACATTTCCAGCCCAGTAACACCCAGTAGTCATGTCCACATACAGGAAAGCTGGTTTAGATTGGTTTTACAGTGAGACTGTTAAAAACCCAGGCAAAGGGGTAAAAAAAAAAAAAAAAAAAAAGCCTAAAAAGAGATATGAAAACTAATTTCCAG